GAGTAAGTCAAAATAGAAAAAAACTCACATTGGGTTTAGGGATAATCATGCCCGAACTGATGACTTCCACCACGTCAAGGTGACAGTCTATCACTGAGTTATATCCCTTCCCTGTCCCATCGAGAAAGAGAATTGGCAAGAAACTCAAGGCCACTCTTCATTCGGGCTTTCTTTCCGCACTATTATGGATAGTCAAATAATGGGAAAAAAATGGATTCAATATTCAACTGGTCCTATCGATAGTAAGATTGACTATGGATTCGAGCCATCACACATGGTTTCATAAAATCTATACGATTTTCCCAATCTAAATCGAGCAGGTTTCCATGAAGAAGATCTTGTTCATCATGTTCTATTTGATATCGGTAGGAGAAGAACCCGACTAGGTATTCTTAAAAAAAGAGGGGAAGCAGAACCAAGTCAAGATGATATGGGTCGCCCCTTCTTCTTGCGCCAAAGATCTTACCATTTCCGAAGGAACTGGGGCTACATTTCTTTTCAATTTCCATTCAAGAGTTTCTATCTATTCCCACGCCCTTTTCTTGCGATCTCGAACATGAGGACAAATTACTTCTCTTAGGAACACATACAAGAAAAATGAAAACGGTAGCCCTCCCATTAACTACTTCATTTTCATTTATGAATTTCATAGTAATAGAAATACATGTCCTACCGAGACATAATTTAGAACTTGCTATCCTCTTGCCTAATAGGCAAAGATTGACCTCTATAGAAAGACTGATTCATTCGGATCGATATGAGGACCCAACTCCTTTGCATTACCAGAATCCATGTTCCATATTTGAAGCGGGTTGACCTCTGTGCTTCTCTCATGGTGCAATCCTCTTCCTGTTGAGCCCCCTTTCTCCTCGGTCCACAGAGAAAAAAATGTAGGACTGGTGCCGACAGTTCATCAGGGAAGAAAGAACACACAGAGCCGGGATTGGTAACTAATAGTACTACTAACTAATACTAATACATATAAATAGATATCCAGAAATAGAAATGAACTAATATATAGATAATAGAAACTGAAAAGAACTGTCTTTTATGTATACTTTCCCCGTTCTATTGCTACTGCGGGTTTTATGTATACCTTCAACACAACATAGGTCATCGAAAAGATCTCGGACAACTCACCAAAGCACGAAAGGTAGTTAGAAAATAGATTCCTATTTGAAGAGTGCCTAACCGCATGGATAAGTTCACATTAAGCCATCAATTTTGGATCCAATTCGGGATTTTTCTTGGGAAGTCTCGGGAAGAAATTGGAATGGAATAATATAGATTCATACATAGGAAAAGGTTATCTATTGATGAAAACGTTGTACCTAGAGGATAGGGATAGAGGAAGAGGGAAAAATCGAAATGAAATAAATAAAGAATAAAGCCAAAAAAATAAGTTGAAGATAGAAGAGCCAGATTCCAAATGAAGAAACTGAAACTCGAAAAGGATCCTTGTGATTCTTAAAGAATGAGGGGCAAGGGGATTGATATCGAGAAAGATTTCTTCTTATTATAAGACGTGATTTTATCTGCATATGTTTGGTAAAAGAACAATCGTCTCCTTTAATCATATCATAAATGGAAAGTGTTCAATTAGAACATGAAAACGTGACTCAGTTGGTCTTAGTTAGTCTTCAGGACGGAGTGGAAGAAGGGTGGAGACTCTCGAACGAGGAAAAGGATCCCTTTGAAAGAATTGACCGATGAGCCGTATGAAGTGAAAATCTCATGTACGGTTATGTAAAGGGATAGTAAGGGTGACTTATCTGTCGACTTTTCCACTATCAACCCCAAAAAACCCAACTGTGCCTTACGTAAAGTTGCCAGAGTACGATTAACTTTTGGATTTGAAATCACTGCTTATATACCTGGTATTGGCCATAATTTACAAGAACATCCTATATTATTAGTAAGAGGAAGATGGGTTAAGGACTTACCCGGTGTGAGATATCGCATTATTCGAGGAACCCTAGATGCTGTCGTAGTAAAGAATCGTCAACAAGGGCATTCTAGTGCATTGTAGATTCTTATCCCAGACTTGTATCATCTGATGATGCCATGTGAATAGCTAGAAACGTGTGAAGTGTATGGCTAACCCAATAACGAAAGTTTCGTAAGGGGACTGGAACAGGCTACCATGAGACAAAAGATCCTCTTTCTAAAGAGATACAATTCGGAACTCTTATATGTCCAAGGTCAATATGGAAATTCTTTCAGAGGTTTTCCCTTACTTTGTCCGTGTCAACAAACAATTATAAATACCCCGACTTTGTCAGAACAGGTCCGAGTCAAATAACAATGATTCGAAGTACTTCTTTTTCCATTACACTATTTCAAAAACCTAAGGACTCGATCGTATGGATATGGAAAATACAGGATTTCCGATCCTAGCGGGAAAAGGAGGGAAACAAATACTCAATTTAGTGTGAGTAAATAGAATTCCATACTCGATCTCATAGATCCCTTAGAATTCTTTGGAAAGCCGTATTCGATGAAAGTCGTATGTACAGCTTGGAGGGAGATCTTTCCAATCTTTCGATATCCAACCTACAATATGGGGTCAAAAAGCTAAAAAATAAGTGATTTTAGCCCTTATAAAAAGAAAACGGATTCTTGAACCTCTTTCACGCTCATGTCATGTTCAGGTACTATAGAAAAAATAACTTCGAAATCCGAGCCAATTTTTCGTAGTCGATTAGTTAACATGGTGGTTAACTGTATTATCAAAGACGGAAAAAAAACATTGGCTTATCAAATTATCTATCGAGCCGTGAAAAATATTCAACAAAAGACAGAAACAAATACATTATTGGTTTTACGTCAAGCAATACATAGAGTAACTCCCAATATAGGAGTAAAACAAGACGTAATAAAAAAAGGA